TGCATTCTTTAATTTTAATGATTATTTTAATTTCCTTACATAACCCAGCAATTAATAAGTAATTATAATTGAAGATAATCAAAAATAATCATGTTTAATTGCCATTAAAAAATAATCAAATAATCAAATTTAATCAAACATATTTTTTAATTCTTTGATTATTTTTAATTATTTGATCACTTTTAATTAATTAATTTTCCAAATAGACAAAGCTGTGTTTGACAGGCAAATTTTTATAAGTTGCCTTTAGTAATTGAAACCAAATTAACTGTACGAGTAAATACTTGTACTGCAGTTTACAAGTAAATAATGATTCCTTACAGACATTGTCAACTGCCTTTGCTATTCATTAATACTTTCAGAAAGAATTTTGTAGAGGACACATTGGAGCAGATCTTACTTATCTTATAGATATAGATATGCACATTGACCGCATTTTTGTTATTCTCCTTGTGCATTTTTCTATGTTACTGTATTGATTCTCATCATATGTATGTATTATTACAAGTTGAAAATAATTGAAAATAGTTAAAAATAATTAATAATAATAATAAAACCGGGTTTTGAAATAGGTCGAATAATCGGTCACCCTAGTAACTATAGTGTACTCATATTAAATGAAGAGAACTGAATATATTCAACTATATTTTTTTAACTTTTCTCTATTTAATTTGAACATATTTTATAGTGCAAAAGTACTCGAATGTAGATAATTATTTTGGCGACGACCGGTCTACGCGACGACTGTGGTTGTGGCCAGATTCAGAACTTCAAGTGAACACTAATCAAAAAGACAAAGTAGACACATATTAGACGCATCTATTGCACTGTCTACTTTGTCTTTTGTGATTAGTGTTCACTTGACGCTGGCTGATGATGGTGGCTCAGCTGTCAACCGAAATGCATCGGAAAAAAATAAACAAAAAATTTAATTTTTACAAAATAAGTTCGAGTTGTTATTTATGATATTTGCGATCAAAAGATTAAAACATAAAATTAAAAAATTTTAATCATCTGACCACAAGCAGACTCTAAATTTAGTGATTAAATTACTAAAGCGGTTTCAAACAATGTTTGTGCAAAATTTTAGGCCGAGCATTGTAATTTGACCGCAACTTGAAAATTACATTTCCAAAAGTCAACGCAATTTTTTAGATACTTCAAACTTGCACTTTGTTATACTAAAATTAGTTGGGCTATAAAACTACATACTTAGAATTTCTCTAAAAAATCTGAATAAGAAGTTGCAAATTAGTATGCAAATTTATTGAATTTTCCTGAGTTTTGCACAAAGTTTAGAGATTTTGTTTTTATGTTTTTTGGTGAAGTACGAACTATATTTTTATTAAAAAAATATTGAAAATAAATTAGAATAAAAAACTTTGCATATATTGCGAAAAATTCTCTGTGCCAATACTTTTGTCCGGCACTGTATGTAAATAGTATGTTTTTTTTTAATGAAGTTGATGTACTATTAAAAGGTTCATATTTCACACGTACAACAATTTCCTTCCCTAAATAAATAAAATAAAATAAATAAATATACGATTGTAAAGGTATTAACCCTTCGGAGGGCGCGCCGCGGCAAATTAGCCGCAAAAATTTTAATTTGTGGTTTTCAAATACTAATTGTAGTAGCCAGCATCTGTCACTTAGTGACTTTGTAAGTTTTGAGATGCAGCATGGTTCACAGTTAGCTGTTACTTGCTGCGTTATATCGTTCAGTTGATATTTGTATTTGAAAGTTGATGTCTCATACATATATGCGGCTGAATTGTCGCGTCGCCCCTTTTCGTGTACCAAAAAAAATTGAATGCAACTTGCAAAATTTATTTTAAGAAAGTTGGAAAAGTGAGTTGGTGATAAGAGTCTAAATCGAAATTCTTATTTTGTAAGTTATACTTTGCGTACACATTATTGTAACTATTATGATATTCATATTCTTAGGTTTTAGAGAAAAAAAGGATGTTTTGAAACTTATATTGAAGCGAACCAGCTACGCAACAGAAATTTAAACCAGGAGTATGTGCCAGGAATAATAAAACAAAAATTTGTTGTATTAATTGTAACAAAAATGTTTGCAGAAAACAAGCATATTTCACAATGTGTAGAATGTATCAACACCACTGTTGATGATGAAGGATAAAAATTTAAAAAAATAATGCTTATATGTTCCAGTATAAACACAAATTATTCAAATGTTCTATTTGAATAATTTTTCGACATAAATAAATAAAAAAAAATGCAGTCAACCTTTGAGATGCACCTTGCGTCTAAAATGCCGCGGCGCGCCCTCTCGTGTAACTTTCAAAGCGCGCCCACCGAACTGTTCTGAATTTTTTCTTCTAAATCAAAGCGTGCCATGTTAATATACAAAAAATTATAAAAAATAAAAAATTGAAATTGGAAAAAATAAAAATTGATGCAACTTTCTTTCCTAGTAAATTTGTTTGCTTCTCGAAGCATTGATCCATCCTTTGCAAGGCCCAGTAATCAGCGGTCGTGCTGCCGAGTTGGGCGAACGTTCCAAAAGCTGCTACTCAATCGCTTGTTTTGTATGGGAAAAGGTTTCACATGGAAATGGATTTTAACAATTCAGAATTTTTGTGAGAAAAAATTAAAAATATTTGACATTTTCGAGACCAAATAATTTGAAAATAAATCAAATCAGCTGCTCTACTGATACTACCTGTTCAATGTACCTTGGTACATACTTTATATTTCACTTTTAGAGCCAACATTTGTTTACTACAGTTTGAGAAGCACTACGCTATCAGCAGCAGGAGAAGCTGCAAAGTAAACAGAGCGGCAGAGTGCAATCATTGCAATTGCATCTCACATTCACATTCACACGCACAAAGTGACTTTCATCAATGCGCTCTCGCACACCAGCTAGCCACTCTCAATTAGAACCAAAACAAAAAACAGCTGATGATAAGTTAAAGGTAAAAGCAAACGAAAGTTGCATTTGAAGTTACATTCACAGATAAACTCCGTTGCTGAGGGAATGGAGAAGAATGGAAGGAAAGTCTAAATTTCCGAACATAAATATGTACATATGTATGTGCATACGGTTGACTTCAAATGCAAGGCGAAGATTGTGCCTATATGCAAATAAATGATAAATAAAACAAATTTAATGCATTTATACAAAAAAGTAAAAAACTTCATAAGTTTTATCATTGTGAGTTGTGAAGCGAGTTGCATAATGAAGCAAAGGCCAACCAGATGAATTAGATGCAAAAATAAATTCGAAAAAATATGACGGCGATGATCAACTAAAAACTTGTAATTGCATAGACACTTTTTAAAGTGTATTTGCGCAAAAAAGCGTCGGAACAGGAGAGCAACTGCTATTATGAAAATGTGATAAAAAAACATACAAAAATCTATAGCTGTGGGGAAGTGAGCATATGACTTAACGGAGGCTATGAGCAAATATCTAGAGTCCCAGATATGTGTGAAGAAAAAGAGAGCGATGGAACTTGAAATCGCACCTGTCTTACTTTTGGCCATCGACTTTTCTTACATCATTATCCATCTCCATTATCATCATCATGATTATTTGCGACATGCCATTTCTTTCCGCCGCTCCAATCAAACATGCATACATACATTTACTATACATTGCATGTACGTTCATAAATACCTATACTTTTTCCTACCAGCAGCGCCAGTTCATGTCCACACTTTTACGCTTAACGCACAAACAAACCAGAAAACAACAGCCAGACGCATGAATTAACAGCCAACCGTACATGCATATCCAACGAAAGCGAAACGAACGAAGAAAGAAGCCAAAGCAACAGTGGTAACTGCCAGCAGCAATAAATTAAGTAAAAAAAAAATAAACCAAAGCCACTCGCTGGTTAGTCGGCCAGCAACAGGCGACTGCATTAATTTCACTTTCGTTTGCAGCGCAACGATCATGGTAACTGCAGTGTACAACAAAAACGGAAAACACAGCAACAGTGTGACTATCGTTTTTGTTGTACCAACAAGGCAACTTTTTTAAATGCTGCTACTACTGGCTGCCCCACAAGCGAAGCAACCACAGCATGCCGCACAGAAAGACAACTTCCCAAGCGCAGCCAATGCACCTTGCCTATAAGGAAGCAACGCAAAGCGACGTCATCGCATACAACATTAAGGATGATAATGTTGTTGATGAACACGATCCGTTGGTAATGATGACAAATGTAACAACACCACCACAGACTAAAGTATGTGGAATCAATTGAGCGCGGCAAAGAAATACCAGCGTTTCCATTTGGGAGTGCACGGTATTTACTTTATGTAAATATTTGTGCAGCTTAAACTTCAAATGACAAACAAAAATCTGCATCAACTTAGAGTAGTAAGCGCCACTAGCCACTTTGTGGGCATGCTCCAAAGAGTAAAGGGGTGAAAGTCCAAGTTGGTCAGTGGCAGAGAGCATGGGGTCTTGTAAATATGCAACTCCTACATTTTGGCAAATTACTAGCAAAATAGAATAAAGTTTTAAATCCTCAACTTTGGATTCCGAAATTCCATGGCAGCTGCATTTTTTTTATATTTGAAACGCCTTGTTGCGCTCCATGCACCTTATTGTTTTTGGTCGAAATTACAACATACGAAGTCACAAAATATCGTGTTATTATTGGATAAGAAACATACTCTTCAGTTCTATTTTAAATCTTCAAGTTTATAATCATAAATATTTTATAATATTTTATATTTTAAATTTCACTTCAACTCATAATTAACTAAGAGCTCCGTTTTAGATATAATATTATATCGCAAGCTGATTGTTATAAAGTTTAAATAAATAGGTGTTTTTTTATTAAAATACAGTTGTGTATGTTAAAACTTAGTGCTATTTTCTTTATCAACAGAAATTTATTTATGTACATTAAAATTATTTTTTATCAAAGAAGACTTTCTTTTGTAAAAGTTGTTATGTTATTGTTTGTGACAGGTAGTTGAGTTGCCTCAAAGAAATAGTTTGTTTTGCCACTTACCAAATACGTAAAACAATCCTGTCCTGCTGTTATGGCATTGTGACGTTGCATTACCACCCCTGCTCCATGAAAGCTGCGTTGTGGCAACAACGAGGACATGTTGCCTACACTGCTTTTTCCAAGTAGAGCAGCAGCAGTGACCGCGCTTGAACAAAACGATCTGTTGATTTTTTGTTGTAAAAATAATTGACAAAGATATTTTTGAGTTTGGTGGCTTCGCGAACCGACAACACTGTAAAGTCCTCGACGACCGGAAGTGCTTAAACATGCCATTTTTACAAATTAGTATTTTAATGTTGTAAAAATTTTCGAAATTCTTTTCTAAAACCCCTGCCTTGGCGTTTTATTTTTTGTTATTCTACCTTTATTCTCGTAGGATATGTTATAAGGGTTTAACAAATAGTATTTTGACCCTTCATTGATGTTCACTTTTTGTGTTTTCGTTTTTTTTTTTTATTGTTTCCGTCTTTTAACCGTATTTTATAATTTTTTATTTATTCATAACAGGACACATGCCACTTTATATATTTTCTTATTTTGTTTTTATTTTTAATTACTATTTTAGAAAGTAATCTTAGTATGTTTTATTTAAAACTTGCGTTTCTTTTTAACATCGATGAGCACTTCCAAACTATTTTGAATAGGTTTTGAAATTTGCTGTACACGAGGTGTTTGTAAAATTAAATGCAAACGGCGATCAAAGACTGACTTAGTAACTGAAGTACGCCAAAGACGACCACGGAACAACGATTGCTTGCGTCTGAACCCAGCAACTCCAACAAAGTGTCTGTTGTAGCTGACAACGTTTGTGGCTCACGCAGGTTATTACATTGCGGTAGCAGCCAAGAAGTTAGGTAGCTCAAAAGAGAGCTTAAGGAACGGCTGCGTAGACAATGGAAACTCGTTCATTTGCCTCGCTAAGCTAAGCTGCGCTAGTTTGCGGCCGCGCTGTGGTGAAATTTTATGAGCCATATCACTTCGGAATTAAAGCTGCATAGGTAGTGGTGCGGTTGAAGCAGCTTACAGCGAGGTGGATTTGGGGTGCCTAGGTTGACCAAAAGTGTTTGAAGTTGGCTCTAATTTGAGCGAAGCTAGTGGCACATGCAAAAGGTACGAAAGCTTATTCCCCAGGAGCCGGTGAAGCACTCAGCGCTATATACTATAAATACTGCTGGAACTACTAGCTTCAATGTGGCTTATAAAGCTTGTAATCCATGAAATCCACAATGTAGCACATTTACATAAGTTGAACCATTTATTTAAGCTTCAGAAATGTAGATAGTTTTTCGCACTCATTTGCTTTTTTTTTGATTATTTAACTGGCTAAAAAGTCAAATTGGAATTGGACTTGACGTAACTTGTATTTTTTCTTTGATTTTACCCTTGTCAATCTATTAACCATATGTAAAAACAGCTGATCGCGTTTCTTGTTAGCGGGCACCATCTACGGGTCGACCTTTATGCGGGCTAACCGATTCGGCCTTCTTAATTTTGTCCCTAACCCGACGTTTACATGAGACTTTTGGAAAGACATTTAAGGTCGGTGTTATGCAGACAAACGTTTGTTTGCTAAATAAATGGCGGCTGCATAGTTTGCTCGGGGGTGGTTATATCGAGTTTTGCCCTAATCTTTGAAGCTCCTACCGCCTAGATTCGGTTCTCCTACTTTCGGTATCACAGCAATTTTTGTGTATAGCAACAATTATCTAAAACTTTTGTATATGACAATACCAAATTTGCTTCAGTTTGTCCAAAGAACGTAAATCAAAAGAACGTAAACGAGCTATCGCGAACCGGTTAGGGACCAAATAGCGAAGGTACAAAATGTAGGACTGGCAAAGAACGTAATTCTATAACTTTACCTTCTTTGGTTTGACCAAACAAAATTAGTTTGCTGGGAGAGTCGCCAAACCAAAGAAGGTAAATTTATAGAATTACGTTCTTTGCCAGAACGCACGTTTTGTACCTTCGCTATTTGGTCCCTAACCGGTTCGCGATAGTCGTTTTGGACCCAAACCGTTTCTGTTGTATTTCTCCTTGATCTAGGAAACAGCTGATTTTGCTGTCACTTTGTTTTTCTTTTACTGCTGGGGTTTTATAAAAAATTTGGTTTATTTTTTATATAAAAAATTGTTCTTAAAAATGTCGCGAACTTTCTACTTAGGGCTCCGAAACTTTCTTTACCGCCTCGAGAATTTGCTGCAGATCGGCTACAAAGGCCAACCGCCAAGTGAGTTTACCAAGCGATTCCCCGAAGAAGGAGGTTATTTAATCAATTTTATTTTTGCAGCGCAATTTGCATTGGCCGGTATGCCTAGTATTAACGTGAACGCCAGACGAATTGTTGCAGAGTCTGACAAGCCCGATAGATTTAGCCTTAAAGAACTCTTAGGTGATGGCATCTTCTGGGCCGTGCCGAAACATCGACGCACAATTGAGAAAAGACTTAAGCGGAAATTTGGCTTGCCTGGATACAATTGGAAACCATTGATCACTAAAACAAATCTACGCACGTGCAACCAATGTGGCCATGACCACGAATTGGGAATTCTTTGCCGTAAGTTGCGTTATATGCCCTTAATGAAACACTGGACTTGAAACGCTTTAATTGCAGCTCACTGCTACAAAAAGGTAGAGCTGGAAACTCGTTTGATGCAAGAAAAAATTCAGGAAAAGTTAGGTCTAGAACCTGTAGAACACGAAGTCGTCGTACTCTACGAGGGTGAGCAACTAGAAGGATCTGTTGATGCTGCTAACAAAAAGAACGTGCGTGTTGTAGAAATGGAAAAGGCACGTCCCGTTTGGTTTAGCAAGAACCTCATGCAGAAGACCACTGTGCAACCAGCAAATACAAAAGAAGTTAAGCCCTCTAATTTGGGTTAGGCAAGAACATGTGTCTAAAATTATTAAAAAATAGTTAACAAATTTCGTAAATTTAACTATTTTATTTCGTCGTAAAGTAATGTTGAGTAGTATTTATTTGTTTAAGGAATCCATTATTGAAATCCTGTGCGGTCATTACTTTCTTCCCTTCGATACGTAGCTGATGTATCTCTACATAAGAGTCGGCAGCACAACGTACTAAAAGACAGCGTTTTTTGCGGTCGTAGTAAAAACCGCCGCACTCTACATTCCTTAGAACGTCAGTTAACTTCTGTGGGACTGGTAATTGGACATGAATCAGTTGCACGATTTTATTTTGAAATATCGTGTTCAAGTTTTTGTAACCAAAAAGTGCACGAAATTTTCTATGCAGTTGTTCAGCACTAATCTGAGCCCAATTCACTTCCGTAATAGTAGTCGTTATTTTGGGTGCTTTGAAAAGAAAATGCAGATTTAAGTATAAAATCGAATGGTGCCTCTTTCAATATTATGATTACCAAATGTAGCGAAGTCATTATTTTGTCTTGTTGTATTTTCTAGATAGCGAGGAAATTCTTGTATAGTAGTGACGAGCAAATTAGCGCCCGCTATGGCCAATTGGTTATGTAATTCTGGCATGAGAATACCATCTTGTATGACCACTTCTTGCTGGGCTAGAATCTAAAACAAAAAACAAGTAATTTGGTATGGGAACTTACGACTACGAAAGAATTTCACACACTTACGTCTCCCACATCAAAGTGTTTGGGCTCTATTTTCATTATGGATACTCCCGTTTTCGCATCTCCATTCATTAAGGCATATATAATAGGCGCAGCACCACGCCATCGCGGCAATAGACTGGCATGTACGTTAATCATGCCACTGTAAGTTGAAAGCAAACTTCTTATTAAAATGTTTGGTATAGTTTGTTAGATCTGCTTGCATTTCTGCATTTAATAACTTTTATATCCAACTTTGGGGGAAAACCATGCACAACTATCAATAATTTTAACTCACTTTGGAAATGCTCTAATTATTTTCTCTGGTATTAAATGACCAAAGGAGACCACAACACCTAAATCATATCCTCCACAGATATCTGGCACGATAGGCCAGCGATGAAGCGGAAGGCGGTGATGTTCGGCGTACGTACGTACACAATTAGCAGGATTTTTAAAAGATGTTACTATGCCTAATGATTTGCTGTCCAAACTGCAATAACGGTGAAGGCATAACGATATAAACAAATTCAATTTTAAATTGGATATATTCTCAAGTACATACCAGCTTTTGTGAAGCGCTTGGAGGCTGGGCAGAGAAAATGCATCCGTCCCGAAAAACAGCACTTTTAACTTCCCGTTTGTCAAAACAGCAGGAACCGCTTGTTTACATTTCCAACGTTGATGCTTCAGAAGTGCACTGACACTTTCATTTATTTTTCTGCGATATTTGAAGAAATTTAAATAAAATTTTGGGCTACAAATCATAGTTGACTCTAGTTATACAAATTAGAATGCAACAGCCATGGCAACAGCTGACCTGCTCGGAGACGACATGAGCTTGAAATGCATTCCACCTTACTTAACGCAGGGACGTTCAGTAAAAAAAAAAAACAATAACTAACTAAAAATTTCAAAACAATAAAATGTGCATTTCATACTCTTTGATCGATTTTAAAATGTGTGTATTAATATCGGCATTGATTATTTAAATAACAACAGCACATACAATATACATAACTCTAATTAAAAATTCCTATTCGTCAGGGTTTAAATTAAAAAAAAAATCGGAATCGAGTTCAATGAACCACCTTAATGATTATTTTATTAAGAATTTAGGTTTGAAGCAGGTAAGGGAAATGTCAAGTTGTTATGCATTTTGCTTCACATTCAACTTCTCGTCATCAGTCAGATTTTCACTTTGTTTTATCTTTGTTTTATTGAATTATTTTGTTATATATCAAAGATATTTCTAAATGATCTGCACAATTTAGAACTTAGCCGGAGTATTAAAAGTAATCATCGAAATTCGCTTTGAATAAAACCTAGAGCAAATACAATGGAGTCGGAACCAAGCTCCTGCAATACGCTGGCTTCCGAATATGCATTGCGTGTGGCGTTGCAAACTATGAAGGAACGTTGCCTAGTGCTCCAGAGACGGCTGACTGTGTTGGAAGAAGATAACCAAGGGCTGCGAGAACGTGTTGAGCAAGGAAAACCGGCATCCCTTTCTCAAAACAATAATGGCGCCATGGACGGCGAAGCTGCTGAACTGATGCAGTTGCGTGTTCACGTTGCCGAATTAAATCGTCAAAAGCAACAACTGAGTGAGCACATAAATATGGTTTCAAACGAAAACCGAAAGCTTTGGTCCCGCCTTTCACAAATAGCCAAAGATAAAAGCGGGCGCACAGGTGTCACAAACGAACAAGATATTTTAGGTAACGTGGGAGACCAAGATGACTTGCAAGCAAGCCCCCAAAATGGCAATGGTGCAAGTCAAAACCTTATACGTTCTAAAACATTTACACAACATTCACCTAACCCTAATCTACGCCACAAGCTAATTCCTAATGGCTCCGAACTAAGCATGGAAGAAGTTGCGCTTGATGGCTGTGATAAAAACGGTGAAGTAGGTGAGGAAAATAAGGATTACGTAACAAGCGCAGATGGAGAGTTAGGCTTCGCTTACCTAAACGTTGATGACGGTGCTAGCGAAGCTAGTAGTAACGAAGATGCAGATTTTACTTCTGTAGCTAAGAAATGCATTGACGGCTTACAGGAAATGCGTCGGGAAGCGATTAAGCAACAACAGGAACTGAATTCAGCACTTGCTGTGCTCGAAAGCAAAATTGGTAAGTTTACTATGCTTTACATATTACTTAAAAAAAAATGCTTAAAACACCCTTTCAATGCATCCATCTTTGCAGCTCTGCAACCGTGCACAGATTGTGTAAAAAACAAAAAGAAACCAGAAACAGCTGACAAAAGCCTTGAAACAGATGAGAGCCTCAGCGAAGGCTTGAATGCTAGTAAGCAACCTGAGTTTAACGGTGTGAAGGCGTGCCATCGCCACGACGAATCTGAAGAAGTATATTCATGTTCCAACGAACCGGAGGACGAAACTTTTCTAGGTGTCGATGCCTATTACGATAAAGTACAAGACGTATTTAATATCGAGCCAAGTGATCGCTTGTGTCCATTATGTGGAAAGAAATTTGATAACACTGTGCCGTGGGAGACGTTCCAGCTGCATGTTGAGTCACATTTCATTGATAGAGATGTAGATTTCTGACAAAACCCAAAAATTTACTTTTCCTCAGAGCTATGAGAGGAATTTTGATTAAAATGAGAATATACTATTGCGTGCTTGTTGTTAAAATGGACTGATTTTGTTGAAGAAAATTTTTGTTTCGCAATTATGATTGTGCGTACAATAATTAAAAGGTTTTAAGAATTTTATGTATGTATGTTTTTGTTTGCGTTGTGCAAATTTAATACTGAAAGCTCTTTAAATTTTATACACATACGGGCAGGTTCTGCAATTCACTTCCGAGTGAATTTCAACCCCTGCCAATTTGAATTCAAAGCGAGTTTGATTGAAATTCACTGGAAAGTGAATTGCAGAACCTGCCTGATAACATTATAATTTCCAAGGACTTCGTATAAAAAAATATATTTAAATATATTTTTAATTAAATTATTTAAATATATATATTTAAAAATATGGCATTTCAATTGAATACAAAGCAAATGCAAAGGTTTAAGAAGATGTCTCACTGTCAAAACTAGTAGTTGCACGAGTACAGACATACACATATTTAATTCCATAGTAGCTTTAAGTTAACTTAGTACCTAAAGTTATGAGAAAGTGAAAAATGAAAAATAAAGGTTAGATATATCTCAGATGCACCACAATATCCTATACTTTTCTTAACCCGACCGAAAGAATTTTCTATGTCCTCTTTAATGTGTGGTCATTATAATTCCCCCTACTATCAGTTCTTTGTACCGGATTGAGTGGGACTTACCCGATCAGAGGCAGTTGTTTTGGCGATATAACGCGGCCAAACTCATTGCAGCATTGTTTCTCCGCAAACTTTTGCTTCTGGCTTGCATTGAGTTCAACTGCGGCCCAGAAAATAATTTCTGCTCATAGCTCAAAAAATACTACACCAAGGGCCCATTTCGGTTAAATAAAAGACTTGCAACGGATGGAGTCATCTAAGACCCGTTTCTTCCTTTAAGGTTGTCGCCAACACAACGCACAGTACAATTTGGTAAAAGGGGCAAAATCAGGTATCTTGATAACGAGAAAAGATAGCGAAACAAATGTAATGGTAATTTAAAGATTTTGAGATGCAGAGTTCCGGAAAAATTATCTAGTTGGGTAAAATAAGTATCGTGGCCTTTAAACTGACCTTCAAGTGGGTTTTAAATTTTTTTCTTTTGTGACCTGAAACCAGTATGCAGTGACCCTTTTTTAAAAACCGAAATAAATAAAAAAAAACATCACATTATAGGGTCGATTTCGAGATACATTACATTCTTATTTTAGATTACATGATTACAATATCATACTAAAATTTAATGGGCTATAAAACTGCATTCAAAAAAAACTGGAGAAAAAGGTTCAAAACTTTTAGGAAAGTTCGTTAAATTTTCCTTCATTTTGTATACAGTTTGAAGCTTTGATTTATATCGTTTTATAACATGAACCCTATTAAAGAAAAAATAAATAACAAAAAAATTATAGCTTGCAAATCAATGTGAATGTTAAAAACAAAGGTGTACGCAGATATGTACATTAGACTGCATCACCAAAAAAAGGTGCTATATATTATTATATTTTAAGACGTCCACCAAAATATTTCGGAAAAATATTAAGATTTAAGCGAGCTGAACCGATTTGAAAATACCTCCAAAAATGGAGTTTTTATGAATAAAAAGGGTTTCTTAAAGAACATAAAGAAATAAAGAAGTCCCCACAGATGACAAAACAGATTCAGCTTAAAAAATCTGCATACAAATATTTAAAAATCTTTTCAACAGAATCGTAAAAATGAGATTTTTGATGCTGTCTTTTTTTACTTTTTTCAAAGATTGTTTTACGAAAAACTTAAATAACTGGACCAAAACTATTCTGATTTAGACTTATGGGATTTCGGTAGAAAGGTATTTTCCCACTATTTTTACTTATGTGCAAAAAAAAGTCATTCGTGTCCCATTTTTTTTTTTCAAATACCAACGCATCTTAATTCAACTAAACTTATGTTCGTTCATCCTACCTTTCTCTTTCAACCTTTGAATGAGCTTTTTAGCAAAAAAGGGCGAGAAAATACCTTTCCAATGATACCTCACAAGTCTAAATCTGAAGAGAGAACTGAACCTATTCAAGTTTTTCTTATACCAATCTTTGAAAAAAGTTAAAAAAAACAGCATCAAAAATCTCATTATTACGATTCCGTTAAATTTTTTTGTATGTTTTTAAAATATTTTTATGTCAACTTTTTAAGCTTAAACCGTTTTGTCATTTAAGGGGATTTTTTTAAAAACATCTTTACGAAGCTATTTTTATTCATAAAAAAACTCCATTTTTGGAGGTATTCTCAAATCGGTCCAGCTCGCTTAAATTTTAATATTTTTCCGAAATATTTTGGTGGACATCTTAAAATATAATAGATTTTATAATTCCAATGGAAAAACTGTACCGATTTTTTTTTTTTGTATGGGGACTGATGCAGTCTAATGTACATATATGTATGTATGTGAGTGAGTTTATGTACCCAGTGGGAAAATGTAATGTATAGTAATCGAAAAAATAATCAGTAAAACAACCCTTTTCACAATCGAAAATGTATTTTTTTCCCCAGGGCGAAGTCCTAAGAAAAGTGGGGCATTCAATGTTGCTTTACCTAGTATCGAGAAATGATTGTGATTTAATATGAATTTTTTGCGACTTTTTGGATACATTAGAATGTTGATTACATAGTTAGCAGTAATATTGTCGAGAACGCATAAGAAATAAATTATATTATTTATCTTGCATTTATAAATCACTTAACCGTTACTTTCTTTTTAAACTTTAATATAACTTAGATATATTAATTATAATAAAACTACAGGATCATATTATTGTTGTAATTCTAAACCCAAATATGCCATAAAATTAATGTTTTGTTTACAGCAGTCAAATCAACTGCCAATTTCTCCAAAAATACGAAAATCATTTAAAAAAAAAAACACTATGAATTTAAGTAACAGAAAATACTTTAGAACGCCAGAGAATTTATTTTTAACAATATTTTGGTACAAAAATAAAATATAGTTCACCAAAAATAAAAATATATTCGTTTTAACATGAGTGTACACACGTTGACGGAGGTGGAGACTTACTCCGAGAATTCGATCATGTTCTCAACACATGTAGTATAAAATACCCTTATAATATCATTGTACTCAGGAACCAATAAATGATTTAATGTCGAAGAATTATTTACATTTCAGTTTAAAATTACTATTAATATCATTGGACTTTACCAAATTTTGTGTAAGTGGTTGACATTTTTCATGAGCTTTCAAGCGTACATATGTATGTGCATACATGCTTGCATAGCTACAAACCCTTATCTTGTAAACTGTTTGAGCCTTTAATTGCTTTGGGTGCGTATTTTTCTGAAACCGGAACCACTTTACTGTGGCGTGTGTGTGTGTTCCTACGCACAAGCATATATGTATGTATGTATGTATGTACGCATATGTACACGCACAACAGAACATTCATTCTTTCACTAGCGCCGCTTCGATTTCATAGTCAGCATTCGTATGTATGCTGGAGCAAACCGCACACAAAAACAGTTTTGGAGCTTATGGCCGATTGTGAATTCGATCTCTCAAGCTTTGCTCTTTTGAACCGCCTCCAATACGGTACTCTATTTTATGGTATTTCGGATATAAATTGAATGCAGACTCCGCAAACACTTAAGTTAACCGTACCAATAAACGCGTTGCAACGCTGGCGTGTGGCTATTTTTTTAATGCCTGCAGATTTTTTACTTTCGATTTTAACGAAAATATTTGTGCTGTCTTTTGTGACGATCGATTTTACTGTGTTTTAAAATGGTTGTTAAAAGGCCGTTGTTACTATGGCTACAGTTGTTGGCTGGTAATGATTTACTTGAATTCTTTCATTAATAGATATAAACGCAAAATGGCAGTGAAAAGAATATTTTGAATGTTGAAAAATAAGAGAAAATTAATTTTTATTAACTGAAAAAATAAAATAAAACTTAAAGTGAACTAATACATATAAACAATAATAAAAAATATAAACAACAATATAAAACAGAGTACATACGTCCATTTACATACATACATACCTCATAATCAATTAAAAATTTTTTTAAGTAACTCCTGCAGAAGAGATTATCAGCTCTTCTTCTATAAAAACAATTACTAGAAAACAATCGGTATTTGACCTACATAAGGCAGAATTTTTTTTTGTATTTAAAGCTTATCGTTGCTTGACGAGCAATACTTCATAACTATCCGCCAAATTCACTGCCAAGTACGATGTGACAGAGAAATAAATTTAAATTTCGTTACCGCGTCTCAATGGTTGCCTATTCCACAAATTTAGTGGTAAATAATTATAGTAGAAACTCATATTTGGTAAGCTCAATTAGAAATCCATTCAATTTTTTTTTTAAGAGATTGAGTCATAATTAAAATAGTAATTTCTCCGTTTATCGAAGTTAGCCTCCAAAATCGAGCTTCGAGTCCTTCGAAGTTCGAAATTGGACCTTTGGTAAAAAATTATTTTTAATTACTGTATGTAAACTACTAAAAAAAAAAGTAAAAACATAGTCGTGGTACACCTTTTGCTCTTATTTAAACGGTATATAACTTTTTGTATATACTCATATATTACAGGTAGCAAAAAATTTGCTGAAAGGTAAATAACAGCTTTCTGTACATTTAATCTCAAAAATGCCAAATTTTGAGTTGTGACCCTTTTGAAGACGGTGTGCGATATGTATATATGTACAAGTGTATTGCTATAATTAGTTTATTTCGCGCTTTATTAGCATCTAGAGATAAAGAAAAAAAAAATTTTGCACATTTTACTACTTTTGATTTATTTTTAGTCACTTCTATTTTTCTTGGATTATCTCATTCAAAACGATTTATTGATTTCTTTTTTATGTTTCCGTTTACAAATACTAGCACGTCAATTTACGAATCAGCCTGCTCCTCCTGAATGGGATTACCGGGATACAAATAGCTGGGTTGCAGATTATCCGCAATGTGGAGGAACACGACAGTCACCGATAAATTTGGACAATCGCGGTGTAAGTGTGGAGGGCATTGCATTAGTGTTATTGTTGTTGGGATGCGTATTACATATATATGTACACAAGGGTGGCCCAAAAATGCACAGAAAAATCAATTACTTGGTAATTTCTTTCCGCCACCAACCAGTAGCTCGTTTCTGTAACTATTAACTACCGATTACTTCTCTACTGATAGAGAATATACGTCATTCTCTACTACTCAAATCTACTACATATCTACATATAGCTACTACTAGCAGTAGAGAACATGGCGGCGAATTCATTTATGATAGAACCTTCCAAAACGTTACTCAGAATATAGGAAATTTGAATAACGTATTTTATAAATTAACCCGTTTTTTCCCCTAATTTTCAGATTATTGGGTCAAATATTCCCCCATTGCAATTCCAAAACTACGCAAAGTCTTTTTCTCGTGGACTAACATTGGTAAATAACGGACTTAGAGGTAATCAATGCCAATAACTAATGCCCATTGGAAATTTAACCATTTACTCCATTTCCCCTTATCAATAGCGGACATCGCAATACCCGAAACTGTTCGTGGCACACGACCAACCATTAGCGGTGGTCTGCTGAATGATGTCTACGAAGCGCAATCGGTGCATTTCCATTGGGGCTCGCCAGGTGGTGTTAAGGGCTCTGAACATACTGTAAACGGCAACCATTATGATGCCGAAATTCATATTGTGCATAAAAATATGAAGTACGGCAATGAAGAAGAGGCTATGCGATTTCCAGACGGTCTGGCTGTGCTAGGCATTATGATTAAGATTGCGGATGTAAGTTTGCGGACATTTATAAAAAAAAATTTTAAATGAAAATCACCACTTACTTAATATCACAGAACCCTAACAGGCACTATCCGGGTCTGAATAAGGTTTTAAACAAATTACCGAGAATTGCAGTGGCTGGAACTAATACAACTATGAATCACAAATTAGCTCTCAACCACTTCCTAGGGGATGTAGATACGACTAATTTTTTCGCCTACAGAGGTG